GAAGTGGAATGATGCGTAGAGCGTTAAACTCCCACCCCGGCACCCTCTCTCTATCCATCAAGTCACCCTCCCTTCGGACTCAAACCCCCAACCCTTAACCGCAAATGTGCCTAATTTTTCGTTGTTATCCTTTGTCGCTGCTGTCCTTGATTTGTCTGTCCTTTTGGACATTCGGAAGTCTCCTAATAATGCGTAAAATTTAATGCACCATTCTGTGGTCTTCGCTAGACAAACACAGAGACGCTTCACTGTACTTCAATCGCGACAAGTGATTCCCAGATTTACTACTTTTTTGGGGATGGCATCGTCCTTTTCTTTTCTTTTTGTTGTTGTTGTGCTAATGTTTGGCGTTTTTATGGCCTGCAGAAAATTTGATTTATTGGCAAAACTTGAGTTCTTCCGAAAGTTGTGTAAAGTTGGAGAGAGGTTGGAGTGGAGAGTTCATCATATAATTGATGCGATTTGCGGTTCATAAAGTGCAATTGCCTGTAAAGTGACAAAAGCGTGGAAAGACAAATGCTTTTAGGACATATGGGAGGATATTTTTGTGGTCTTAAGAGGATGACTTCCTAGTTAGTTAATGGAAACCATAAACATAGGTCTTTAAAGCTCTTTAAATACCTTAACTACCGACCTAAAAACCTTCCCTACTCAAAGCGCAGCCCAAACTAGATCAGATCACCTTTCCAGATCGCCCTTCTCCACTCCAAACTGTGTCAGTGCAAAAACTCTTTTGTTTGTCTTCCCCAAAGATCTGCTCATTTCCCATGCCAAACAGCAGAGATACAGATACAGAAACAGCCAGACGACGGCCTCATTAGGTGACCCAAAGTGTCCGAAACTATGCAATTTACATGCACAGAAGCCCCTCAAGAAGATAGAACCCACGAGGGCCAATAGACCGTGGAAGATAACAGCGGAACTGGAACTTGGAAATTGGAGAGCTGAAAACCAGACTCAACTATACTATACACCATATACCAAAATGCCAGTCCCGAACGAATTATGTTGTTTAGCGAGGGGTTTGAGGAGAGCTGAGCTGACTGAGTGACTATCCCAGAGATCGTTGCCGGGCGATACATAAAATTTGAATGCGTTTTGCATACATTAACCCACTGTTGCCCATGGTGCTTCTGGGGGTTGACTGGACTAGTGGGTAACGGTCGCTGGTCGCCAGTTGACCAAACGGCGACTAGAAAATGTGTTTATTAAATTTTATGATTATTGGCCAGCAATTGAGCAGCTTGCCCTGGGAATGTGTCGTCGTCGTGGTCGCCTCTCTCTCTCTATATATCTTTCGATTGTGAAAATTGAAATTTTATGCGCACAAATAGCCGGTGAACAGCAGACCCTTTCTGAAAACCAGTCAAGAAATGGCCTGGAATTCTCACGCGTAACTGGAGCAGGTTTTTGTGTTTTTTTTTGGTGGCTTGATAATTCACTTTACGTTTCCAAAATGCTAATTAACCCTTCTAGAGTTTATTTTGGGTGTTACACATGTTTCTGGATCTGCCTAATGTGCCACAAATTGAAAGCCATTAAGATTTTACGAGGTCCCCACTGTTCAACACGTTCCGACCCCCTTTGGACAGACATCAATCAGTGGCTGGCTCATTACGAATGCACAACTTGGCTTTAAGAAAGCGCCAAAAAGCGTTGGTCTAGTTCTTAAAGACGAGAGGTGAGCTTGGTCTTGGGGAAAACTAATTAGAGAGAAATATTTAGAAAAGCCGTTGGTACACATCGCTGGACAATTTTCAAATGCTCCTCCAAATTGGCAACTAAGTAAACTTGAAAGCTGACAGAGCTGGTCCAGCCAGCCAGGTCTACACGCCCACTTTTTCCAGGGGAGCTTCATTTGTTGTTGTGACTGCTTCGTTATGCAAATTTCTCAGAAAAGTTAAGAAAAAAAAACCAGAAAACAAAAATGAAAATTGTGAGCTATATAGTAAATATATAGCAAATGCAAATTGTATATAAAGAAATGCCAGAAAAGACAAATAACATGGTGGAACGACAACAAATTTAAACGACGGATTTCTTTAGCTTCCATCTTTGTATTTTTCCCTCGCTTTTTTTTGGAATAAATAATAAACGTAAACGAATTAAAAATGCTGGATAAAAACAAAAAGAAGAAAAGACCAAAGGAAGGTCCTCGAACTGAAGCTGTCCTTTCGATATTTTCGTGGCTGTTGGGTTTTTGGTAAGGGAAAAACAGGAAAGTTCTTCTCTGATTCCTTGGCTTTGGTTTTTGTTTACTTGAAACCAAGTTTATGCGGCTTTCAATTAGTTTTAATTGAAATTCCCATTGGCCAAAAGGAAAAGCAATCGGACTTTTGCGTTTAATTAAAGTTTGGCCAAGCAATTCGAATGGCGATTGACTTGGCAAGAGTTAAGATAAAAGCATTATGTTGATTAGTTAGGAAAGAGTTTGAAGGCTAAGAAGATAAAACGTGAAAAATACTAATTAAAGATTAAAGCAATATAGCAGGCGGTCACACTAGCATGTGTAACACACTATCATGTGTAACAGTCACTCTAACTTATCTATACACAGTTAGTTGTAAGCACAAAGTATTCCTCTCCCTTACTTTTGCATAACGATCATGCTAACGAACATTATGTGTGTCCTGTTCGCACGATCAGCAAATGTCACCAATACAAGTAGAAGTTAGGCAAGGATAGAATAAGATAAAGGAATAAAGAGAACTTTCACCAATAAAACCCGTTGCAAGTTTTCCTATATATTCCTAGAGTAATTGCCCCCTCTTTCGGCTTGGCATTAGGAGAACATTTTATTCAATTGCGGTTAGCTGAAGAAAAACAAATAAAATTTATTTTCCCCCTTTTGCCAGTGGTCACTTTTCGAAGAGGGAAGAGCATAAAAATAAAATGAAATGATGCGTTGAAAGCAAACCGAGAGAGCCCTTGGCTACTTTCCTTCAAAAAAAGAACAAAAAAAAAAAAAAAAAAAGAAAAAGTGGGCGGCGCCAAGCCATGTGTGTGGTTGGCTTTGGCCAAAAAGGATGATTCGTATGCCGGAGCATTGGAATGGGAATAGCAATGGGATGGTATAACGTTTTTGGCTCAATAGATACATGGTCATTGGTAAGAGTCAGGGACGGGGGGTAGCCATTTGATGATTTTTGCGTCACCGTTGGTCAAAATCATTTCGAGCGCAAGCAACTGGAAACTGTATAAAAATAATGAAAAAAGGGAGCGAGTAGAGCGCAGCGTGGCAACGAAACCAACTTGAAATAAATGGTCAAAAGAAATAAACAGTCCCATAAAGAATAATCATTCAGAATTCTGCTGAATTATGCATGAGGCAGACGGTCCATGAGTCCGTGGTCCATTGGTCCATGGACCATCGTCCAGGAGCAGCTAACTGGACGTCGCCACTCCACTCTAAGGAGCAGCAGGGGGTGTGGCAGCCAGCACTCACATATGCGAAAAGCCCCTCCTGGAAAACCTCCCCTGCCAAACCCATTCGCTGAAGCATCATTTTCCTCTTTATTATCTGTTTGCTTAGCTGTGAGTGTGTGCTGGATTTTTATCAGCCTTCTAAGCAGTTAGCTGGCTGCAGAGAGAGAAATTACTTACTAAGTTAGTTGAAATTTAAGGGAAAATCATAAATATTAAGATTTAAGATTGTCTTTGGGTAATGCAAACTTCCTTGAGGTGATGCAGAAACCTTTCTTAGAAAACTTTGAAAGTTTGAAAAATATTTTTAATTCTGAGACTATTTTTGTTACCTGTTTCGTAGGGTCTAATTTTGCTCAGTGCACAAACCAAGTTCCACTTCTATTTTTTCGGTGAAGCTGAAGCACGATAGGAGGTGGCGCTTGGAGTGTCCCGCGGAGCATTTCGGCCTGGTCGGTGGCGCTTGGCCAAAAGTCAACCAACATTCGCATAATTTTCGATAAAGCTTTTCGCCAAATGAAATTCAAGTGGTTACACATGTCTCAGAGCCACCAAAACTCATGGCTTGGTCATTTTTCTCAGACACCCCCTATATAGCAGTTCAGAACCGCCCCACCCACAAACCCCACTTCCTTCCAAGTCATTCTCATTTCCACATTATATGCCGCATCTTATTATCTCAGCTCTGTTGTTTGTTTGCTTAGTTTCTGTTGTGTATTTCGTTTGTTTGCTTGATTGTTTGTTTTTTTTTGCCGAAAAATACTGATAATAAAAGGTAATATTGGGTTGGGGGGGGAGGCCTACCTATATGGGGGTTATCTCTTTGTTAAAGGGCAGCAATGAATCGTCGGCTTAGGAAATGGAAACTTTAAGTTTTCACAAAGCAATAGTCATGGGGGGAAGCTAATGATGATTGTTCAAAGATTAGTCTTGAGATAGATTAAGAAATTTGAGGGTTTTCATTGTTATTTAATCGGAATACTCTTCCTTTTGTTAAAGTCCAAGGAAAACTTTTAAATAATACATAAATCAGATTAGAGTTAGGACTGTTTTATCACACTTCCCAACCCTGCTTTGGCATATAATAATTTTGTAATTTTCAACTCTCAAACCTCTGTAATTTTTTCCGTTATTCAAACTATTTATTCCAGCGGTCCAGCCGTGTGGTAATTAAAACTTTCCAGGTCCCGCCGACCTTATACAATATGCGTTCATAAATACGGCGGTGTTTTGTCTGGATCCCTCAGTACGGCTCAGCACTTATTCGAAACGGTTTTGTAGGGGAGGGCCGAGAGAGAGAGAGCCGACTTATCAGATAGACAACCGCAGCAGACGCTTATGCCTGCGGTCGCTCCGATTGCATCAGATGAGGTGCAAAATCGCCTTCCCAATCGGAAGCTAAATCAGTGCTAAAAATATATATATATATAGATTGAAAATCACATGGTTAAAGATTTTCCAGACCTATAAACAAGTATAAAGACTGGCGGCTATAATTAGCCCAAGTGATTAGTTGACGACTAAAGTGGAATTTGTTTATTGTTTACGATTGGCAATCAGGCAATCGGGCAATCGGGCGATCGAGAGCGGTTTGATCAACCCTCGCCGACTGTGCTCCACTGGGGGTATTTTCGCGATAGCACAGCCCATTTAAATTGCAAAAGAAAAACATATTTTAATCTGTTATTGTTTACGCCAAAAGTGAGTATGGAAAACACTTCTAAAATGCGTCAATGAACGCATTTTCCATCTGACTCTGACTCAGATAAGCAACAAAGTGTCAACATTGCTTTAGGGGTTATGTAAGAAGAACTTAATGGCATATGATTTGTGCTGACTCTGTCTCCAAGGGGGGCCCTTAAAAAATAATTAAACTTTGATCTTGAATTGCATGTGCCAGCGCATTAAGCTGATAAGCTAAATTTAATAAAAAATCATGATCGATTAAAGTCGCACATGATTTGGGATCAATGCCAAAGTTAGATGCGTGATTTGAGGACTAGACAGACATAATGCGGTCATTGAATCTTCGTGATGAGCCAAGCCAAACGTGAGAACAAATTTCAATGTTTATTTGGTAAAGAAATATACATTTTAAGCGGCGAAAAATCTGTGGGAGGGAATTCAATTTCGCTTAAAATGCTTTTCTCGATGCGGTTGTGGAACCTCCGGAATCTTCCCGCTTCTCCTCGTTGTCGTCGTCGAGAAGATTGCATTCCCAGCTCAGAAACTGATAAGTATATCAGCCGCCTGCCATATATGTATCGCCCCTCCGATCATGATGATGATGATCATCGGAGGTTTAATTAGGCGCGGCTGTAACATGAACATTCATAATTCCGCTGGCATTCAATCAATGCAGACGTGAACGATTCCAGTGATCTAGTAATCGACCAGTAACCAGCGATCTCGTGCAAAGTGTACAGTGTCTCAATCTCACTCAATATCAATTTCCCACAAATAACAAGATACTCAAAACCTATAAATACGTAAGAGAAATCCAAAGGAAAAACCATGGCGCAAAGTGTATCGGGAAATTGCTGTGCCAAACTCAATAAGGGTAAGAATAAATTATAACTTAATTGGTGATTAAAATAATTAGTTATGGTTTCTTTGGACTAGATGAAGTGTGCTGTCAGAAAGTTAAGGATGTGGCCTCAAAGGATATATCACCAAAAATGTTTCCCGACAAAATCTACAAGTCTGTTCAGCCCAAAGGAGAGGATGCCACGGGAATGACCTGCGAGTGCGGCGTTTTTGGAGCCATTGCTTGCGGGGATTATCCAACACAGGTAGGCAAAAGGGGTTATAAAGGGATATAAAAGGATGTGAATAAGGAAATTATTTCTATTATAATTATCGAGAAAGTAATCCATTGTCCAAAAGCTTAGTAAATGCATTAAAAAATAAGGGCCTTTACCTTTTTTTTTGTCATTTTTACAAGCTATTTAAAAATTTTAAGAAATTTTAACCGACAATTTACCACAGGGGTGCTCAAAACTCATTTAACGGCAGAGGACTTACTAAAACAAATACAAACAAATCATGCACATATGTCATGTAGCTTTTGTATCAGTTTGCAGATGTACACTGAGAGAAAGAAAAACACTTTTTCTTGCTAACCAATTTATCACTTATTTAAACACTCAAGTCGAAGCGTCAACTGCGAAATAAACTCCAAAGTGCAAAACAGAAGTTAAAAAGAATAAGTTCCAGTGCAATAGTTCGAGGATGATACAGGCAAAAACAAGAACAAAATATATTACAGTTAGCGACGAAATGAGGCGGAAAGAGGAAAACGAAAAATTGTTAGTGGAATAGCTTCGCGAGCAGTCAAAGCAAGTCGATATGCAGAGAGCATTTACAAAAACAAAAAATTAGAACTCAGAGCATAGGTGATGAGCAACCCTGATTTACAGTATTATTGGGATAATTTATCGTATTATTAAATAATATCTTCAAGGTAAACCCATTTTGTAACTTAAATTAAGTAAAACCTCGTCAAATCTGCGACTTACTTAATAAGCTAAAAACAATTAGGCTTGAGAAAATCGTAATCAGTGACTGGCAAATAACATTATAAATTAATAACAAACAGGCAAACAGAAGATAACCGAATCAATCGCCTACTTTTCCCGCACCTTTGCATTCGATTGCCCGCCCCCTGAGATGTCGATGACGAGAGATCAAGCAAAAAGATCATTGAGCCTGTCAAAGGCAGATCAGTCGACTTAGAAAATTCCATTTCCATGCTGCATGATCGTACGTCAGACATATGCAAATCTTTTCAAGTGGGTCAATGGTAAACCTTGTCCCATTAGATTCACCAACAGCTCTACCCCCTGCTGATCCTCGTCTAACTTTGCAGTATCTCTGGCCAATGCCCACGGCATGTGGTGACGTCAATGAGATCGAAACGAATCCATAAAGGCGGCTTGCGGTTTGCGGTTGTAATCTTTCTGTTGTTCTGATTTTTTTTTTATTGTCGATTTGTAATGAAATGGAAAATAACAGAAAGTACTAGCTACGTCCCGTTATCGGTACTTCTTTTTATGGGATTTTAAGTTAGAGAAGCTTAGCCAAGCTTACCTTTGGAAGTTTTTCTAATATACATAAAGTCTTCCTATTTTAACCTTCCAAAATCTATTTGATTTTCCCTCATTTTTCATCTTAAATAAACAAAGAAGAAACCTCAACTAAAGAAGATTTTTCTGCTTACAGCTGGACATAGCTCAAATGATCTGCCTGGGACTGGTTGCCCTACAGCATCGTGGCCAGGAGTCGGCGGGAATAGTGACCAGCCTGGGCAAATGCTCGAAGAACTTCAGTGTGCACAAGGGAATGGGAATGATCAACAATCTCTTCAACGACGAGGCCATCAGAAAGTTAAAGGGCAATCTGGGAATAGGACACACTCGTTATTCCACGGCAGCAGCCTCTGAGGTAGTGAACTGCCAGCCCTTTGTGGTCCACACTGCCCATGGAGCTCTGGCCATAGCCCACAATGGAGAGCTGGTCAACTGTGAGTCTTTGAGAAGGGAGGTACTAGAACGAGGAGTGGGTCTGTCCACACACAGTGATAGTGAGTTGATTGCCCAATCCCTGTGCTGTGCCCCCGAGGATGTTTCCGAGCATGATGGACCCAATTGGCCAGCCAGAATAAGGCATTTCATGACCCTTGCTCCGCTTTCCTACTCCCTGGTGGTGATGCACAAGGATAAGATCTACGCTGTCCGGGATTCCTATGGCAATAGACCTTTGTGCTTGGGTAAGATAGTACCCGTGGATGCTGGACATGCGAATATCAATGACCAACTGGCCGAAGGCTGGGTAGTGAGCAGTGAGAGTTGTGGTTTCCTCTCCATCGGAGCTCGATATGTCCGTGAAGTGGAGCCTGGAGAGATCATAGAGCTGTCTAGGAATGGTTATAGAACCGTGGACATCGTGGAACGTCCGGACTACAAACGAATGGCTTTCTGCATCTTTGAGTACGTGTACTTTGCCCGCAGCGATTCCATGTTCGAGGGTCAAATGGTTTACTCAGCCCGCCTGCAATGTGGCCGCCAGTTGGCCAGGGAGTTCCCCTTGGATGCGGATTTGGTCAGTTCAGTGCCGGAATCGGGTACAGCAGCTGCTCATGGTTATGCCAGGGAGTCGGGCTTGCCATTCGGAGAGGTTCTGTGCAAGAATCGCTATGTGGGACGCACCTTCATCCAACCCTCTACGAGATTGCGACAACTGGGAGTGGCCAAGAAGTTTGGTGCCTTGGCTCAAAATGTGGAGGGCAAGAGGATAGTGCTGATTGATGATTCCATAGTCAGAGGTAATACCATTGGACCGATCATCAAACTCCTGCGGGATGCTGGAGCCATAGAAGTCCACATTCGGATTGCCAGTCCTCCGTTGCAATATCCCTGCTACATGGGCATTAATATCCCCACTCGGGAGGAGCTGATAGCCAACAAATTGAATGCAGATCAGCTGGCGGATCATGTGGGTGCCGATAGTCTGGCCTATTTGAGTGTAGATGGTCTGGTGAAGGCCGTCCAGATGAACAAGGCCCATGTGAATCCCCTGAAGGCTGGTTACTGCACGGCCTGTCTAACGGGTGAATATCCTGGCGGATTGCCCGAGGAGCTGAGCTGGTAGGCTGGCTGGCCGACTTTCTTCTTCTTTTAGGTTTAACTTAGTTCTTAGATTGTACCTATATATGAGTATATATATATATTTTATTTTCGGGTCTTTGACCCAACACAAAAAGCGTTGTTTTTAAATAAGCTATCAGTGGGGGGGATTTTTGTGGCGATAAGAGGAGATGCGAAAGGCAAATCATTCTACGAGTTAATAAATTAAATTAAATACAAAAATAAGACTAAGTGTTTGTGGAATTAAGACGTGTTAAAATAGTTAAGTATAACCAAAAATAACTGACATTATCAGTTAGATTTTATGACAGCAGTTCAAATTGAGTCACCAGAAAGAGCCTTCTACCAGCAAGAATATAATTCCTGACTTTATATAGCTTACTCCCTGGGCTAGAAACACATACTCTAAATGCTAATGGGCCACATCAACGTCTGATTATTTCCAAAACTGTCTAATGCCATAACTTCAATTCATTTCAATTTATATTTCCAAGCTTTGTTTGCCAAGCTAAGGGGAAGTCGCTGTTCCGGTTATAGCCAAGCTCTCAGATATAGCCTCATATCATACAATATGGTAATCGTGTTTGCTTTTTTCCACTCTACCCTGTCTCTTTCCGGCTGTGTCCTAGTCACCCAACCGCCCCATTTTGGGGCGTTGCAATGTCTAAAGCGGGGCGTTTAGGGCGTTTAATCCTGCGGAAGATGTCCTTGCGGTTATGCAGAGGGGATATCCTCCTCCATATCCTCTCTCTCTCTCTCATCGTATATAACTTTTTTCCTTCTCTCTACATTTTTTTTTATGACTCGCGCCGGGTACTGGAGTCAACAATGTCATCATTATTCTTGAATATTGTGTTGTATTTTCGCAAACAATTTCGCTAAGCTGCGCGGCATTGGTAAAGCCGGAAAAGCAGGGGTGGCAGATAGGGGGGTGGGGGTTGGCTGAAGTGTGGCGAGGACATAAGAGAAGAAAATAATATGCACTGTCATTGTAACTCGCTTGATTAATTCTTGTGTAGGGTATTCAGGGTTTGCCTTTGGGTTTGGTTGGTTTTTCGGGAAAGTTAGTTTAGTTAACTTATAAAGATAAGTTAATCTTATCATTATAGATACCTATAGAGACTCATTATCATATTTTAATCAAATGAACATTTAAAAATTGTTATTTATATAAAGAAAATATAGGCTTATGGTGTAACTATGTGGTCTTAAACTCAATAATCTCAGGTTTAAAAAATCAGAAATTAATGGGAAAAATCTTTAGAACTTTTTAAGCACGCTAGAGGCTATCTTAAACACATCTTTGGGTTAAAAAACAATAACTTTTATTGTAGAATCTCAAAACTAAAAGATGTTCCTATAGAGGACTTCCCTTTTCCAGGGCAGATCTCCTTCGCCACTCCATCTCGACACTCACCAAGTGGCTACATAAAAGAAACGACTCCTGGCAACATTGAAAACAGACGCTGGCACTTTTATCCAACCGTTGGCCCCGCTACAAGGATACCCAAGAAGGACCAAGAAATCCACACAGAAAAAGAAAGATAGATATATAAAAAGAAAGAGAGAGAAGCTTATGTGCGCCGTCGATCACAAACACAAACATCCTGGGCGCAGACAGTGACAACTAAGCAGGGCCATATTGCCAGGACCCTGATATGTACAACCTCTAGGAAAAGCCCCTTGGAAAAACCCCCCTCCAACTCTGCTTTACCAAAACATGCTTTAAATTTTTTAATAACGCCGGGCTACAAGAGCGCTGACGCCCACGTCCGGACTTGGGATCCGGCTTTTCGTGCCCGCTGACGACAGCCGAAGCCCCGCCCCGCCACCAACCCAACGCCCTTTCCGCCCATCGTCGTCATTTGCACAGAAGTTATGTAAATTAATGTTTACTTAAGTTCCCCATGTTATTTCTTCTTTTTTTTCGCCTTGCACTTTCACAATGTTTCCTACTTCAAAAACAAAGGCAGACAGCGGTTCGGGAAAAGTCGAAGGGTGTGAGGTTGGAAAACCGAAAATAAAAAAAAAAATTGCAATAAATTTTGGCAGCCGCTTTTGCAATTTAATAAAAAGCTTTTGGGGGGTGGAAAGGGGGGTGGACCTTAGCTCTAGTATAAACAATCAAGCTTATTATTGAGTCAAATGGCTGAGTAAATATATGAGCCAAAATTATGGCCAAGGCATGCAAATGAAATGGCCGTAGATGAGGATTATGAAGCCATTAACCAAACACTTGATGGGAATTGTCGCCGCTGAAATTTAATTTAAACATCATCAGGGCCTGGGTCTGGGCCTGGGCCTGGGGCATATCCTTCACACATGCAACAAGTGTGTGGCAGCCACACGAACCAAGTCAAAAGGCAAACAAACAAAGTCATGCTTCTTGCCAGGCTTCTTCGATGTCCTTCGATGGGCACGCAAAACGTGCCTGGCATGCAAGACATGCGATGGCCCAAATCGACATCATCCTATCAAATGTCATTTTCTGGCCAATAGAACACTTTGTGGTGGCCTATCCTTTTCCCACTTCATTAGCAAATCAAACTTCCGTCTTCCTGTTTCGGCCTCAAGACATTTACTGGCATGTGTCTGTGGTAAAAAAAAGGAAAAAAAGGAATTTCCTTCGTTTTACTACAAAATTTGCATTCCTTGAACCCTTGATCTGAGGGACTAGAAAACTGCTTGTCAGCTTGTAATTTGATTTAAGGACTTTGGCTTGACCAGTGGGTATGGCTAAGAGGTAAGTGGTCAGCTGGGATTTGTTATGAATTATTGGATAATTAATTGGGTTTTAATGTTGAGCTTTTAGCTTAAGTTGTCACTGGAAAAAGGCTAGAAAAGGAATCTTTACATTCCCCTTGATTTACCTCAAAATTGTACCAAAAATCCCATCAAAAATCTTTAAAAATAAATCTTGCAAAAATCAAAACATCAAAGGAAACGAAAAAGTAAGTAACTTTTTCCCATAAAACCACAAAAAAAAAAAGATTTAATGTCCCCTTTAAAGTCCCAAGCTTTTTGCCAGCTAATTTATCTTTCCCCAAAATGGAATCTAATCAAATGCCCAGAGTCCTGGCTCATTTCCTGCCTGCTTTTGGCTTTGAGAAGAATTTGCATAATATTTTTAGACGCAATGGTATAAAGTTTAACGATGAGAGGCGAACAGAAACCAACCAGACGACTGAACAACATTTCCACAACTTTGCGTTAATTTTCTAAATATTTTCTAAAATTTTCAAATTGCATTTGGAGCAGCTAACACGAGCCGGGCTGTGGGAGTGGGAGGTGATGCCGCAGGGCAATCCCAAGAAGCCAGGTTGCCGTGCTGGAGCTCATTCAGCAAAACAACATCTCTCCATCACAACCCACCCCCCAACCCCCTTAACTAACAACGAACAAGTTGAGTTTTATAATTTAAAATTATGAACTAATATAATTTAATTTTAGTGGCTGGCACGCAGAGCAGCGATATGATGGAAAGCCAGAAAGGGGAGGAGTAGGAGGGATTTTCTGGGCGGAAATTAAGTGCACTATATATATACCAGATATATATATATATAATGTTGGTTATTGTGCACAACAGCAAATACAACAAAAGCGCGTTGGGGTAATAAATATGTATGAAGTTTTGTGTTTGTGCACCAAAGAATGCAATTTCCCTCGAAATAAAGCTAGGCGGTGGGGCTGGAAAATGATGGAGAAGGGAGTAAGAGAGGGGGCCTTCATTTGACATCGCGTGCTTAGGGGCGATTTTCCCGCTGCATTGGCCAATTCTGAAGAGCCAGCAAAGATAATAACGATAATTAAGGCAAGCGGCAAACCAAATCTCTGATTTGAGTGACATGCAACAACAAAATAATTCACAGCCAGTGCGTTGGCAGTGTGTATATGATGTGTGTGTGTTTATATGTGAAAATGTGTGTGTTTGAGCCAGAATGGAACCGCCATTTTGGTGGCTGTAACACTTCCGGCCATCATTGTCACAGAGTGCGACAAAGCATGATGAAAGCTAAAGGGAGATTGGAGAGCACTTTGAGAAAAGAGGGGTAAAGTTGGAGAAGAAGATGAGGGAAATGTATTAAACTTAATTTAAAATTTTATATTTTAGATAATTTTTAAAGAATTTAAAGGATTTAAATTGTTATTTTGGCGGATTCCTTGCCCTACATTCCATTAATTTTCCATGGAGACTTTCCAAGCCAAAACCAAACCAAAACCAAACGTCTTCTTAAAAAGAGTTTCCAAGTTTGTCTTTAATAATAAAATCTATCAACTTTTCCAAGAACCTTTAATTATTTTTTAGTAGATTTTAATGTAATATTTTTTAAATATTTTTTTAAGCAAATAAACTTAGTATATACCCTTAATTTAAACACTTAATTCGCTAATTACAAAGTTCTTAACAGACGACGCCTTCCCAACATTCGTTTTCCCTCTCTGCATGGAATGTTCAATTGGCTGGATCTGGATTTTTCTGATGATTGCCCGGAGTGTAGGCAGGTAAATCTTTCTTTTTTTTATGATTTTTTTATATATTTTTTATTGTTGATATGATGATGATAGTAGGGGGGAGGGCAGACATCAAGCTCCATGGACTGCATCTGCTGTGCTTCCCATTGCGTGTAAGTTCATTATGTTGCCAGCAGTTGTTGTTGCTCTTGTTCATTGTGTGCCTGATACGCCCAACAATAAAAACAACAACAAAATTAACAACAAGACAAGCAACAACAAACAACAAACAACAACAACAACATCCGCAGTCGCAGTCGCAGTCGCAGCTGTCTGGCCACCATTGCAAATTTCTACATGGCCGCTCAACTGAAAATTGTTTCTGCAGTTTTATTTTTTACACATCGTTTTTTTGTTTTTTGTTTTTTGTTTTTGTTTTTGTTTTTGTTTTTATTCACATTGTTGATGGCTTTGTTGTTTTTGGCTGGCTGTTGTAAATTGCAATTTCCCGTTGCTTTTTATCGTTGTTGTTGTTGTTGCTGCTGTTGTTGCTCTGCTGTTTGCCGCCAGATTATTTATTATTTTAATTAATTTATTTTAATCCATCACCCGAAGGCTTATCAAGTCATGTACTTAATTTAATTACAGCTCATTAGTTAATGC